AGTAGATGAATATTCTGTGATATTTCCTTCTACTCCCCACTGTCAATAGAGGAGAAATAGAGGATATCATTTCCTTCCTCAAACTAAGTGAGGATGGGATCAAGAGTTGTAAAGAGTGCAGATGCTTACCAGATGTGGAGGCTCAGATCTTAGCTCTTGCCTCAATGCTTGCTGTGCTTCAGATACATGCACAATGGCTCATCTCCAAATTGTGCTAGAGCCAATGTCAAAGTTGTTCTTGGGAGCATTCTGTATTTCTAGAGTTTGGCAGGATAATAATGCAAAGTAGTTCCTGCAGTCCAAGTGGACACTGTGGAAGGCAGGCTTGGACAGACTTGGGACTCTGACTGATAAGGCTACCTCCTGGGAGGTAGGATGGTTTCCAAAGAACCCAATGGGCTAGCAAGAGAAATAAGCAGCATGTGGATAAATGCTATCATGTGGAATCACTCATATATGTACATATTATTCTGGTTACCTAGTGCTTCTCTGACAGGCATGCATAGTGCAAATGGGATGGCTTGAACAAATAGGAGTTTATTCTCTTTCGAATTTGGAGGCTTTAAGTCCAAGTTCAAAGTGCCAGGCTCTAGGGGCTGGGTGAAAGCCCCTCAACCTTGGGGTCCAGCTCTGCCTCCTGCTCCTGTCCCACTGGAGCTAGAGGCATTTCTTCACTCAGACAGCTGCTGGTGCTGAGACTGAGAAGCCCAAGGTGACAAGTAAAAAGGCACAGTCCTGATATTACCAAACTACATGGTAGGCCATTAACTTAAATCCATTGTAAGTCCCAAGGTTGGCAAAGCATGGGAGCTTGCTGAACAATGACATGATTATATGCAGGGTCCAAGCATGCCATAAACTAGAGACCAGTCCCCAAGGCTTCTGCTTATATACAGGAAGCAGACCACATTCCCTAAGACAGCTACTCAGCTGCTCACAGTAGATTCCACCATGGAGATGATTACCAGTCTCATCATGGGGAATACTACATCCAGCTGCCCAGCCACTCAACCAGGCCCAGCCAAGTTGGCACACGGGCTGAACTACCACACATATACATGCATTTATACACTTATATAATATATGCACACACATATTTATTTATTATTATATACATATATGCATACATATATACACTTATACAACATATTCACATATATGTTTATTTATTATTGTATATATATATATATGCATATATTTTTATTATTTATTTTAGAAATGAATATTTATAGAAAGTCTCTGAATTAGGTAGTAATCTTTCCTTTTATAAACAAATACATTCATACACACATACATATGTGTATATTGTATTAATGTCCTATTATTACCAAATTTCTTGGTATAAATCTCAATATTTGCACTTTATTTATTATTCCCAGAGCTTTGGTAATAGTATGACACTTATACTGCAGAGAAGATGAATTTTTTATATGACAAGTTATATAGCTAACTTTATCTTCTTTCTTTTTTTATCATTCAATAATGAATATAAATATGAGCCTTATAGAATTTTAGAATTTAATTATAAAAGAGAATGGCTCTTTCTATTTTTTTTACAAAACATATTTTTTTTCCATTTCTTCCACAGTGTATTCTTTCAAATTGATTTTCCTAAAATGTAATTTTCTCTTTTGAATATCATCTTTTCTTGAATAATGAAAGAAAGTATTTACATTACCCCATTCCATATTCATATACTGGTTTAATGATAGAAATGAATTTCAAGATTAAATACAGGGTTATTTATCTTTTTAAGGAGTTCTGGTGGCATAGTGGGTAAGGCACTTGACAGCTAACCAGCAGGTCAGCGGTTCAAACCCACCAACTGCTCCATGGAAGAAGACTGGGCCATCTACTTCCATAAAGATTTATAGCCTCTGAAATCCCATGGGGGTTGCTATGAGTTAGAATCAACTGAATGGCAGTGAGGTGTTTTTTTTCATATATATATAATTATATATATAATACATGCATACATAATTATATATAAAATTATATATACAGTAATAAATAACTATAAATATTATACTATGTATTATATATTACTGTTCATATAATTTTATATATAATTATGTATGCATATATTTTATATATAATTATATATAAATATATATATATATATATATAACTATTTTGACAACCTAATAATACAAAATTGGATTGAACTTTTTATCTTATGTTGAATGACTACCAAGAGTGTTTCTATCACTGAAAAATTCAAAATATGCCATAGCAGAATTTTCAATGAAAACAAAAATTAACTTTTTTTCTGGATATAGAAAAGGAATAATTCTAAAGTAGAAATGCTTTACTAAATCTGCTTTGAAATTTGGAATAGTATAGTAAATAAGAATTGTAAAGGGCATAAAACTTTTAACTCAATTTCCAGAGTATGAGTCTTTCCTCTCTCAGACAGCTCTGTCAATTTTCAAAGTTTAGTTGGTCCATTAGTACAGAACCATCTTTTAAAGTATATGACATGCACTTAACAGAAGCAGTGTGTCACTTGAGAGGGTGTCTCAGGATATTGGTGTCCTTTTTAATTTGTGCTGCCTGACAAAACCGGCACAAAACTGAACACTTGGTTCAACACCATTAGTAGCTCTAGTTAAGTGGTATCAAAGCACAAGAAGCATTAAATAGACAGCACAAGCCTTCCTCAACTCACTTTCAATGGGGAGTACTTCATGCATTTTTCATGCTATTTCTCTTCTCTTCCATAAGATTTTAATGGGCTAAACTGCCATGTATATAGAACTCATGATAAAATGGAGAGACGGGTACTATATGATTGAGGTAGCTGCAGAAATAGATAAGAGCGAAGTCTTTTAAAATTAAATACAATTTAGGTAGCAAAGTAAAAGTGTTTTTGTTAAAATGCTTTTAATAGCATGAGATTTATTCTATAAAAAGTCTGAAATGATCATTCATCCCAAATGGATTATTTATTTTAGAAATGAATATTTATAGAGAGTCTCTGAATTAGGCAGTAATCTTTGCCTTTGTTTAAACACAATTAACAATATGCAAAGTAAAGTGGAGCTTTTTAAAAAATATGTGAGCATAAGTACTTCCATTGGCAGTCATTTCAGTATTGCACAGTGAGTACATAATATGAAGAACAACTAACCTGTTATGCTCTTAATTAATGAACACCTGTACACAATGAAAGCATGGCTGATTTTATGGATGCATGAAAATCCAACCAGGCAATTAATATTCAATTTAGAATTCACACAATTGAAATAGTAGCGTAGACAACTACTTGTAATACGCAAATCACAAAAGCAGAAAAGTTAAGTTTTTTGTGGATGAATCTTTTCTAACATATTCAGGCTATTTTACCTTTTATTTTATTTGTTGTTTAATTTTTGTAAGGAAAAAATAAGGACATCTTTTGCATGGTTATTTACACGTAATGTACTAAATTGACCATTTGGGGGTCTCTATTATTTTCTTTCATTATTCTTTTTCTTTTCCTTTATAAATACAGCCATAGTACACTTTTAAGAAAGGATCCACTTTTGTGATAAATTATTTTATTTATAAGCTTTGATAGAAATGGAAAAAAAAAAACACATTTGTGGTCAAATTCTATAATTATAATACACTATAGTTATAACTATGAATATAATTTATGTAACTATAAACTGAAAATGAACACTGTTATTTCTTAGTCTTCTATGCACTTGTGTCTCTGATCTATGTATTAGTGTGGGTAGAGACCTATTAAAGGAATGTTTTCTTTGAATCTTTCAACAAAGATCTATTGAACAGAAGTTCCAGACAAACACTCTTACAGGTTTTGAAGATAGAGCAATTTAGAACAATAATAACAATAACAAAAAATAACAATAAAATAAATTCTCCTTTCTCAGCACACATACATTCTAATGACTGTTGAGACTCATATGGTATCATTGAGCATAAAGACCTTAATGTTTTTCTTTCCTCCCTATAGATATTATGTATCCCTCCCTCATTTCTCAGTTGTTTTCAAATTATTCTTATCAACATTTTTGATGTTTGTGATCTCCTAAGTAAGTATCTAGGAGCTCTGGTAGCATAGTGCCTAAGGCACTTGGCTGCTAACCAGAAGGCTGGTGGTTCAAACCCGCAAGCCACTCCTCAGAAGGAAGGTTGGGCAATCTACTTCCGTGATGATACCATCTTGGAAACCCAAAGAGGGATTGCTATGAGTTGGGTCTGACTCGACAGCACACAACAACAACAAGTAAGTGTCATACTAAGTTAGTAAATACATTTTATAGAGATAAAAGAAACAGTAAATCTCACTAAGACTGTGTCCAAACTAATTAAAGACCTAGTCCAAAACATTTTTTTTTCTTCTGCTTCTTCCATGTGAGATACAAGAAGATATTTTAAGACTTATTTTTAAATCTTTTAATTTTTCTCATGTGTCATTGAAAACATTTATTAAAGGTACTTCATGATAAAAGACTAGCAGGATCTTAGGTTTTCTAAGTCAGGAAGCAGATGAGTGTTTATTCTGCACATAGATTTAACGAATGAAATAGGACAAGGAAGAACTATGTTTGGCTTTGCAAAGTGGCATTTGTATTAGGTTAGTTGTGAAGAGCAATCCAGGAAACTTAAGGAAGTACACTATAATTAAAGGTGACTGTTCTCTTTAACAGAGAAAGAAGGTAAGCCAATCAATTCCAAATTTGATGGAAATGCTTTATAGAATCAGTATATAATTAGAAGAAGAAATTAACTTCTTCAATTTCATGATAACTTGAAGATGATAAATGCAAGGACTGAAAGGAAACTGAAAGCTTTAGAAGCCTGAGTTCAGGGAAACAAAAGATCTGAAGTAAAATAAAATAAAACATTTATTTTTAGGGAATAATTTTATGATGTTGAAGTAAATGAATCAGGAAAAATTATTCCAAGGCAAGCATTAATGATTAATTCAAATTGCTTTTAAAGAGATGAGAGACATTCTGATTCAGAGTAGTGGTTCTTTAAAGTCTTACCTGCTTCATTCGTGCGGATCATTCGAGATGGCGTGCTTGGATCTCCGGTTCCAATCGGATTGGTGGCCACCACTCTAAATTCATATTCCACCCAGGGATTCAGGTCCACTGCCATAGCTGATTCCATGTCCCCTGTTATGATTTCTGGAACTATAGAGAGGAAGGAGATTTCATGTCATTAGGAGCATTGAAGAACTGCTACAAACAGCAATTAAGGATATCACAACTGCTGACAGAGTCAGCAGACTGACACATAATTCCTTATAGATGTAAGAAAGCCCCTAGTTTCACTAAAACCAGTTGCTATTGAATTATCCAACTCATGGTGACACTATGTCTGTCAGAGTAGAACTGAGTTCAGGGTTTTCAAAGGCTGGTTTTCAGAAGTAGATCATTAAAAGTAGATTTTCTTCTGAGTCATCTCTGGATGGATTTGGAATTCCAAACTTTTAGTTAGCAACTGAGTCCTTAACCATTTGTACCAGCCAGGGACTCCTCAGTCTCATTAGGAAATTGTTGTTATGTTGTTATGTGCTGTGGAGTTGGACCTGATTCATAGTGACCCCTCCTAGGGTTTCCAAGGAGGTATCACTACAGAAGTAGATTGCCCAACCTTCTTTCTGAGAAGTGGCTGGTGGGTTTGAACTGCCAGCCTTCACTCGCATAAGCCAAAGTCTGAGTTAATTAGAATTCTTTCATCTTAACCTTATACATAACTTGTCACTATCTACACTAGAAATAATTTCATCAACAACAGCTCCAGAGAAGAGGTCAAATAATGCTATAATTTAAACTAACATCTTTTATTCAGTTTCTTGGGGAACTTTTTGAGCATGTTTTCTCTAGGTTCTGGGAAACATACTTAACCACTTTGCAGTTCCAAACAGCAGACTAAAGATAAACCCACTGCCGTTGAGTTGATTCCAACTCACAGTGACCCTATACAATAGAGTAGAACTGCCTCATAGGGTTTCCAAGGCTATATAAATCTTTATGGAAGCTGACTGCTTCATCACCTCCTATGGAGTGGCTGGTAGGTTTGAACAGTCAACATTTTGGTTAGCAGCTGAAATGTTTTAGTCACTGCACCACCAGACAGCCATCAAAACAAAATAAAACTATCTTAACTTTGTCCATCCTTCTAGGCTTCATCTAGTTTCTCTGTTTTCTTTTTTAGAAAACCTTAAGAGTTGGTTATGCAATGACTTGCTGTAGTCAATTATTTCCCTTCCATTCTCTCTTGACCCCACCCCAATCAGGCTCTTATCTCCAGAATTTCTCCACAACTGTTCCTTTCAAGATTACCAATGGCCTCTATTTTACTAAACTTATAGTCAAGTCTCCACTCCTCACCTTACTAGATCTATTATCCTTTGACGCAGTTGATCACTCTTTCTCTTTCAAACACCTTTCAAAATTTTTGTTTCTCTCTGCCTGACTATACGTAGCCTCCATTGCTGGTTTCTTTGCACCTTCTTGCTCTATTAAGTCTTTCCTGTTTTCTTACTCCATGATGTTATTATGTTTTTGAATCTCTTCTATAATTTCATAACTTCTATATTTTCAGTCATAAACATCTTCTCTGAACTCTTAACTCATCTAGTTAATAGTCTATTAAATGTTTCTATGTGGATAAAGTTCTCAACCTTAAATTCTCCAGCTTCCCAAATCTACTTCTTTTGCAGTATTCTTTACTCAGTGAGTGACAATTACATTCTTACAGTTGTTGCAACCAAAAATCTTGGGGTTATCTTAAATGCCTTTCTTTCTCTCCTAGCCATATCTAATCCATAAGTAAATTATGATATCTCTGACTTCAAAATGTGTTGGTTTTTCTACTCCATTTTGCAGCAAAACTTCTTAAAGAATTGTTGATATTAACTTTTCTCCCATTCTCTCTTAAACACAATCTTCTCAGACTTTGGTCCCTACTGTTTGACTAACATTGCTTTTGCCATTGTCACTAATGACCTGTTGTTGTTGTGTTGTTGTTATGTGCTGTCAAGTTGGCCCTGACTCATAGCAACCCCCCTTGGGTTTCTGAAGTGGTATCACTACAGAAATAGATTGCCCAACCTTCCTTCCGAGGAGTGGATGGTGGATTTGAACCAGCCTTCTGGTTAGCAGTCAAGTGACTAATGACCTACATACATGTTTCTAAACCCAGCAGTGAATTTTTATGTCACTTGATGTGTCAGCAGGCAGCATTTATTCTCTCTTCTTTATTGCACTTTACCAATTTGTGTATCCAAGTTGCTTCCTCTTCTCCACAACTGCTTAATATTGGAATGCTCCAGGACCCAGTTTTTCTTATTCTTCTCTATTTTATACTTACTTTTTTGGAGATAACATATAATCTTCTGTATCAAGATATAATTTGTAGGCCAATAATATCCTAATTTATATCTTTATTCTAAACTTCTCTCCTAAACTCCAGACTCATATCCAATTGCCTAGCTGACATTCCCATTTGGATATTTAATACATGTATCAAATTTAATATGTCTCAAATTGAACTCCTGTTTCACCTCAAACCAAATATGCTCCATTCATATAGAATTCTCCCTACCAGTTGACAGCAACTCTGTCCTTGAGTTGATTAGATAAAAAATATTGGAGTCATTCTTGAATCTTTTTTTCCCTACATTCTTCACATTCATTCTGCCATGAATTCCAGTGGACCCTACTTTCTAAATATATTCAACACATATGTTGTTGTTATGTGCTGTCAAGTCAGACCCAACTCATAGCGACCCCTCCTTGGGTTTCCAAGGGGTATCATTATGGAAGTAGATTGCCCACCCTTCCTTCCAAGGAGTGTCTGGTGGGTTTTGAACCACCAGCCTTCTAGTTAGCAGTCAAGTGCCTTAGGCACTACACTACCAGAGCTCCTATATATATATATTTACCTCATTAGTTTCTATCACTCTAAGATACAATCAACTCTGAAGTACAATAGCTTTGTAACTAGTTTATGTGATTCTTCACTTGTCCCTCTCATAGTCTATTTCCAATACAGGCTGAATGGTTGTATTAAAAGATAAAATTGATAGTGTCAACCCTCCAATGGCTCTCCATTTCTGTCGGAGCAAAAGCCAAATCTTTACATGACTTAGTTCTGCCAATATCTCTGTGACCTCAATTTCTACCATTCTTCCTAAAGCTCTCTCCTGCCTTGCTGTTCCTACATCTAATACTCTAATGCTTTTTATCCTGGTTGCTCTTTCTACCTGGCATACTTTCCCTAGATATTGACATAACTAAGTCCATGCTTCCTTCAAGAGTTCAGTCAAATATATGCCTTTACAATGAGGTTTACTATGACTAATCATTCATTGCTGATTTGATTCTGACTCATAGCAACCCCATATGTTTAAGGTTAGAACTGTGCTCCATCTGGTTTTCAATGACTCTGACTTTTTGGGAATAGATTTCCAGGTCTTTCATCTGAGTAGCCTTTGGATGAATTCAAACCTTCAACTTTTCAGTTAGTAGCCTAGCCCTTAACCATTTGCACCACCCAGAACTCCATTTACAATTACACACTGCCCCTACCCCAGTATTTCTGATCACCCTTACCACATGGTTTCTTTCCTTTCTTTCTTTTTTTCTAAATAGCACTCGTCAACTTCTAAGATATTACATAATTTTCTTGTTATTAGTTTTTCTGTGTAATGCTTGTCCCATCTATGAGAATGCAATCTCACAAGGGAAGGAATTTTTGTTATTGTTGTGTTGCTTGTTCACTGATAGATATCAAGTGCCCAGCACAGTAACTGGAAGGTACTTGATAAATTTTTATTGAATGACTGAAAGATGATTTCCAATTATAAGATGTGATCAAAACTGGCAAAATTAATTTGTTTCAAACTTGATGTAATTATGTCAGGTTTTAAATTAAGAAATAAAATAAATATACAAGATAAAGTCTTTACTCTTAGGGCTGTATATATTTGCATCATCTTGGTTATAACTTTAGATTATAAACACTTCCTCTCTCACCCTATATTCTCTCCTCCATCCTTAATCATAACCCATTTTTTTTAAAAAAAACAAAGAAGACAGACTTTTTAAATCTGTTATTACTTGTAATGGCTTATATTACTTATAAGAGCTATCAAATAATTGCAAAAGCATAAGTTGATGCTTTTTAATGGAACAGTATGCAATATGAGAAAATTAGAAACAAACTTTTTTTTTTTTAAATCAGAGTTTTTATTTGAATGGGATATTGCAGAGATTAGAGATAATGTAGAATTTATACCAACATCAGTCTTTTTATAGTTTTACAGGCATGAATTAAGCTTTATCTTTTACAAAGATATTCTTTCTGGAACTATGAGCCCACATTGACTATTGATTGAGAGACAGTCTTGCTGAAATGCCTTTCCTAGTAAAAGAATAACATCCAAGAATTTCATTAACAAAACACTAAATTAGTCTGCCTAATTCACAAATTTAATCGACCAATCAATCAGTAGAGAACATACCCACTGTTCGAAGACACATCCAATGATAGAAGAATATTTAAGAGACAACTGTTAAGTAAGCAATGGCCAATCAATTTTATGATTATTGATGATTCAGTATCACTAAGTAGACACAATAAATAATAAAAATAATAAAACTAGATCAGCTAATACTGCTTTATCATAGGTAGAAGAAAGTCAGGTTTACAAATCAAAAGCAATTTATTTGAGAAGAAAAGAGGTCTAATGAGAAAATATCTACTCGCTGTGGTTATTTTCACACTTGGTTCAAAATAAATGAATTATTCCAATTCCCAGTCAGCTGACTTGAACCTGATTTTATACACAGGATACATCTGTAAATTAATTCCAAGATGTTCTCAGCTAGAAGGTCCATGTACTCATTACTTCAATTGCCAGAAATAAGGAACTCACTATTCTATGCTTTGTAGCCATGTTGGTGTATAAAGAAATTTTAAGAGCTTTTCACATACTAGCTTTACTTTTATTGCAGTCCATTTATCAGACTCACCTACCTTTTCTTCTAATAGATATTTCTGGATTAGAGATAACTCTAAGTAAAATTTTGTCTCTAAATTTGGTCTAGCAGAAGGAGCAGCAATGAAAATATCCACTCCCCTGATGGAGCTGGCGAGCTCCAGAGACACTTCTTTCTCCCTTCAAAAGCAGGAATGATACTGTAGTCAGATTGGTCTAGGGGCTAAAATCAGGAACAATTTTAAACAGCTATTTTATAGTACACAAAAGGTGAGGGCTACACCTTGGCAGCTTGCCCTGCCAACAGCAGCCTCTGCCAGTAGCTGCAAGACGTACAGAGATGACAGGAATCAAGAAGGCCTTGTTAGGTGAAGAGAAACCTCATTAAGACACTATTATTTTGAACGATTTATGGAAATCTATTTCTGAAAATATATATTCTGTTAAAAATATAGTAAAACCTCAGTTAAACAGAGCCCAAATTAACATAGAACAGATTTTTTTTTTTTAATAAGTAATTGCTGAAAGGAATCAAAAAGAACTCTCAATAATGTTTCATCATTCTTATTATGTTGTAAAGGTAAGAACACACATGTATAGTAAGATTTCTAAAATAAATAAACATACACCCCAAAAAATAACATTTAATCTAAATGCCTACACCTTCTATACAGGCATGCACACTTACATGTGCATGTGCAAATCTTTTCATAATTTTTGTCTAGTTTGTGCCAAAAACTACTTCAATAGGTATATAGGGATATATCAGAGTATATAAGCTAAAAGCAGAGAATACCAGAAAGATGTTACCTATGTTTAATTGACTATGCAAAGGCATTTGACCGTGTGTATCATAACAAATTATGGATAACACTACAAAGAATGAGAATTCCAGAACACTTAATTGTGCTTGTGCAGAATCTGAGACAGTCATTCAAACAGAGCAAGGTGATATTGCATGAGTGAAGACCAGCAAAAGTGTGCACCAGGGTTGTATTCTTTCACTTATTCAGTCTGGATGCTGACCAAATAACACAAGAAGCTAGACTATGTGAACAGGGCAACAAAATAGGAGGGACTCATTAACAACCTGAGTTATGCAGATGACACAGCCTTGCTTCCTGAAAGTGAAGAGGATTTGAAGCACTTACTGATAAATATCAAA